CGCACGTGATTAAAAACCACCTGACACCGCGGCAAAAGATATAAGGGAACCACTAACCTTTGTAGCTGACCTACCAATTCTAGAAGTAGAAGGTCAGCAAGCGACCTATAAATACAGCCATGGTCCGCAGTAGTTGTACAGCGTTCGTTAACAACGATCAACACTTTACTTTGTCAAGGTCATTGACGTTTTGCTTTTTCCTTCAGTTGGGCTAAAAGCTTTGTTGAGCAGTAAATTGTTGTTTTTGGAATTGCGTCCAGTGGGAAGATTATAACAGACTCGACCCCAGTTTCGACTGGTTTGCTGGGTGACACGTCGCGTTTCTTTGTCAAGGTAGCTGAAATAATTGAGGTTGAGTCTCTTTGTTCGACCTCCAACTCCCTCACCGGTCTAGTGTTTTCAGACTTTGCGGGTGTGGACGTAGTCCACACGGCGCGTTTCTTCGCCAATTGAACTATGATGTTTGGAGTTGTAGCTTTGTACTCCACATCCAATACCGTTGTGGTTTCAGTACCTTCAGGTTTTAAGGGATCCTTACTGACTTTCTTAGCTCACCTCCTCTTGTTTTGTAGAGCACAGGGTCAATAAGTTCGGTCACGCTTTTGACGGCTTCCGGTACGACATCAGAAGCCTCTTTAGAGGCATTCTGGCTCGCTGGGGTAAAAAACGCGGTAGCTTTCACCTCAGTCGGTGTTTCATCCACAGCAATTGAGGTTCGTTGCGTGGCTTCATCCAACGAGCAGACGCCAATAGTGACTCACAGCTTCCTCATCAAAAACTCCGCTTTCCGAGCAAGAGATGCGAGGAAAGACTACGACTGCGGGTTACGCAGCCCGATGTTGCTCCATGTCTCCTCAGTGACCACAAACCGCGTAGGTCGACAGCCACGGCACAGAAGACAACTGAACAGCATGCTATCGCTAGTCGGGAGCATTGCCTATTGATCAGGGCCTAAATCGGTACAGGTCTCATGCTACCAGCAGTTGCATATATTGTACTGCATGACACCAGACCTGTCCGTCACGGGCTTTGAGCAGCTCACGCTGCCACAAAGTTCAAGTGCAAATGCGACCGGAAGAGTACGAAAATCCCGCGAATGTTCTACCTTCGAAAATGTCCTTGATCCAACAGGGAAAGTGGAACATTGAGGTTCCAAAGGAGAGCAAAAACACACGGGTCACATGGTAAAGCAAGTAATGTCCACGTGCCCTGCAATAGCAGTCCCCGCTGTGCCGGTTAAGTGAAGGATAAAAGAAAACATCAGCGCCAGTAAAGGAAAGGAAACAGAGGAGAAGACAAGCTCATGAAATTTAGTAGGCAATATTAAGATGCAAGTTAAATGTGTTAAAGAAGCGTAGGCCGTAGAAGACGAACAAAGTTTTCAGACGTGAAGAGGAAGCATTTAAGCTGAATACAGACGGCGTCAAGTGGATGCTCGAAATCTTTCACCGTCGGTGCCAGCACGACGGCTGCAGTCAGTGCGTTCCGACAAGCAATGCCCCTATGTGTTAAACGAAAAGCTAGCAATAAAGCAGAATACCTGTAGCTCGGGTGATTTGCTCAATTTTGTTCTGTTCTCCGAGTTGAACAGTTTCGTTGCAAACGTTTCATCATCAATCGTGATGACTTGTCCAGTGCGTGATAAGCAAACTGAGTTGCTTTTCCGACTTTTACCGACGAGCGAGTGCCGTTTGAACTTGACAACTTCGATTCACATCCTGTGACTATTGCTAGTTCGCAGTTCGGGCGCCGCCTGTTTGACTCATGTGCCAAATGACCCACGTAAACTCTTTATTCGCAGCTGCCGGTATACCGGATCTAAGTCGATGCGCTGTTTTATTGTACTTCTGTAGAGAACCGCGCTTCGAGGAATTCTCTCCTTGTTTGATCTCATCCTGAGCTAGTATATCCTGTTCACCCAATCAAGCTAGTGCCCTTCTTCAACGTGTGTTGAGACCAAGGATGATGGGTAATGGTTTCGACAAGCTCGTTTGTGTTCTTGTAGCCTTGCAGACAATTTTCTTCCTGTTTGGCCCACGCTGTTCTTACCACAATCTTTACACTGTATCCAGTAAATAAAGTTTCGGCCTTCGTGTGCTCTCGATTTCCCTTTCGGTCTAGACAGAAATATTTCAGAACGTTGGTGGGTTTGTGAGCCAATAATAGATGGTGTGGCTTGAAGATTCTAACAGCCCATGAAAGTTCAAGTTCAGTTAAGAATGAAACGTTAGGAGAATCCCGTGAGTGTTCCATCTTGAGTGGATGGTTGAGCCAGGTATTGATGAAGTGCTCAGTTATTAATGGATCTAAAACAGAACACCCGTATCGCACCCTGGCCAACCAGGTAATACCCACGTTTCCTGCCCTAGCAGTCCCTGCTGTGGCAGTCACGTGAAGTAAGCAAAGGATAGGAAAAGCAAACGAAGGTGCAGAGTAAGGAAGTGCAGCTGAAATAATAAAATACTACCAATGCGTGAAGAAAAGTAGAAAAGAAAATCGAAGTACTAAGATGCGAGTTAGTCAGGAACAGGTTTCGCGTTGCCACCCAAGGGCGTCAAATTGCCGCTCAAACCTCTTAAACGTAGATTCCCTGATAACAATTTCCGGAAGCATGTTCCAGCGCTCGAAAACTCTGCGTGACAGCCGGATTTCCTCCGTTATCCGATCGGATCGCAGTTTGTCAAGCTTCAAGGAATGACCGCGTAGAACAGACGATCTAGCGGGACTATATAGCTCAGATAAATCTGGACCAACCTACCAGGTTAAGATATGCTAGGTTAGGATTAAGTCTCCGCTAAGCATTCGGTGGCGCATTGAATGCATTCCCAAACTAAATAGACGCTCGGGGTATGTCTGTCCCCGTAATCTATCAACTAACTTAGCACCCACCAGTAAAACCCTCTCTAGCTCCAGTTTGTCCCGGACGAGACAGGGCGGACAAGCCTGGACGCAGTATTCCAGATGAGACCGAACGAGAGCCGAGAAGTTTCGTAAGGATGCTGCCAGTCAAAACTCCGAGAGAACGTCGTACTAACCACAACATGCGGAAACCTCTGATTGTGGCCATCGTCCAGTTGTCGCCGGAGTGTAAAGCCGAAGAGTGTACCATGCTTAGATCAAGCTGGCTAGATACACGGGGGAGTCCGACCCCCCGACCAAGTACTTCACAGGACAAACGCCTTCAATTCGAAGAACGAAGCACCTTGCCTGATTTATGGACAGTAACCATAAAGTAGACCAGTCCCAAAACTTATCGATGGCTCGCTGAATAACTTCGGAACCTCAGAAACATAGACAATGTTCCACACGTTCAGGTCATCAGCAAACAGCAGCGATGGGACCTCAAGCTCCGCGGTTAGGTCATTTACATAGACAGAGAAGAGCAGCGGTCCAAGGACCGAGCACTGCGGCATGCCACTGAGGACAGACTGCCTAAAGGATAGGCCACGGCCTACCCGTACATACTGTTCCCTACCCTCCAAGAAGGCAGTCAGCCAATGAAGGGCGCGGTCAGATACCCGTAGGAGCTCAGCATTTGCGCGAGCCTCAAATGGGGTACCTTGTCAAATGTCTTCGAAAAGTCGACGAAAAGCACGTCCAGTGTGTGGCCGTTATCTACTGCATCCGCCCAACTTTCGCGAGCCACCAGTAGATTCGTCAGACACGAAAATCCCTTACGGAATCCGTGTTGAACAATGCTAAGTAGATTAAATCTACTCAGATGACTCTCCAATGAATCTCTCACCAGCTTTATGAGGCTTTTGACTACTATACTCGTCAGAGTAACTGCCTTGTATTTGCAGACAGACTCCTGTCCCCATTTTTGAAGATGGGACAGATGACAGCTTCCTTCCATTCGGAAGGCAATGCATAGCTGTCAAGCGAATTTTGAAACACCATATCGAGCGGTCCAATTAATTTCGCAGCCTACGCATGCAATAGTTTCGGGTGAATTAAATCAGGCCCAGAGGCCTTAGAAGTGTTCAGCACTTGTAGCAGCCTACAAATTTCCATCTCCGCTACAATAACTTAAGATAGTCCTGAACTCCCCGGGATCCTGAAAACCAGCTCATCGGTTGTCAAAGAGGTTTTCCGTACATAGGCTAAACGCATATTGCCCGCTAAGTACCCAGGCCTAGTCATAGTGTAGCAACCTGGAGATTCCCCCGTATGACTGTGTAAACTATTCTAAACTATTCAAATTATAGCTTTCTTATGTATTAAGGAACCATTCGGTTTGCCTGTTGGAACGTTGTTCCCGTTTGTTGAAAACACGAACACGATCTCCGCCTTTGGCGCGCGGCTCGACTGCGAACAACGCCCCGTCTACGCTCTCGACGCCAACGACATTCTCCCTAGCTAGCTCTCACCGGGTGCCCTATTTTTAGCATTAGCTAACGCTCCTCCCGTCCAATAAACTTCTTCCCTAGTTTACTTTTGTGTCTTCTACCCACTACTTTTGGTTGGTCGTCTAGTCGCGTACCGGATATATAGCGCACGATCTACGCGCTATAATTAGTGACCCCGAAAAAATCTATTTTGGTGAGTTCGGTACTAATATTACTTTTCAGATCCGGTAACTTATTCTGTCTACCTTTCTGCTTTTACTTTTTACTACTTGCGTTCACATTCACACGCTCCGTAATTTTCACCATGAAGGTTATTCACTCACCTGACGATCAGGTTAGTGCGTTCCGTTTTCCTATCCCGCCTTTCCGTGATACTAACCCTAAGGCCTGGTTTAACCAGCTAGCGTCCATTTTTTCGTTACATGGCGTTAACTCTGACAGCGTCAAATTTCACTGCGTTGTCGCCGCGCTTCCCCGCAAGTCGTCGATGACCTCGACGACATCTTGGAGCTTCCCGAATGTCAGAAAAGTTACGATGAGCTTAAGGCCGTCGTCTTACAGCGCTTCGGCATATCAGACCATGCTCGCGTTACGCAACTTCTTAACGAAACCGAGCTAAGTGATCAAAAGCCTTCTCATTTACTGCACAAGATGCAGGCTCTATCTAAGCCTCTCTCTGTTGGTGACTCACTCCTCAAAGAGATGTGGCTTCGCCGCCTGCCACGTGACATTCGTAACCCCCTGTATGCAAACGATGCGCCTCTTTCTCAGCTCGCTGACATTGCCGACCGTATTTGGGAATCCAACGCCCAAATATCTCAGGTTCAGTCTACTTCCAGTACAGAGGTAGCAGAACTAAGAGCGCAAGTAGCCGCACTTGCCAACCGACTAGAGAAGCTAACACATTCCGGATCCAACCGTCGAAATCGTTCCAGTAGTCGCAGTCCTCCTAGATCACGTTCGAAATCTCCCCTAGGTCAAGCTATTGCTGGTACCACGAGCGATTTGGTCATCAGGCCAGATCGTGTCGCCCGCCTTGTTCCTTCAAGCGCAAAGCGCAGGGAAACGGGCCAGCCAGCACGTAGGGGCGACGGACGTTGCTGGCTGCCCCAGTCGCCTTTTCTTTGTCACCGATCGCAGTACGGGAATACGCTATCTCGTTGACACCGGCGCAGAAGTCAGCGTTATCCCACGTGATTCTAATGACGTTATCGAAGAGGCGACCGGTTCATTGCGCGCAGCAAACGGTACCACCATTCGCGTGTATGGCCAACGCTCGCGCACGCTTAATTTAAACCTACGACGTTCATTTAAATGGATCTTTCTCGTCGCAGATGTCCAGACGCCAATTCTTGGCCTCGACTTCCTGCAGCACTTCGATTTGCTTGTTGACGCGAAGCAACGCCGTCTGATCGATCGTCAAACAAATCTGGCAGTTATAGGTACTTTGACCGACATAGAGTCAATCAGTCCTGTATACGCCAACCTGTCAAGCTCGCCTATCGGTCAGATGCTTAATACCAAGTTCCCCCAAGTCTTTCGTGCAACGGCACCGTTTTCATCCGCCACTGATGCTGCGAAACACCACATCGTTACGAAAGGTCCGCCTGTTTTTGCCAAAGCCAGGCGAATGACCCCTGACAAGTTGAAAATTGCTCGCGCGGAATTCGAGCACATGCTTGAACTAGGCATCGTTCGTCCGTCTAAAAGTCCCTGGGCGTCGCCGCTCCACATGGTGCCCAAAAAGTCAGGAGACTGGCGTCCATGTGGTGATTACCGCGCGCTCAATAGCGTTACTGTTCCCGACCGATATCCGATTCCTCACATTCAGGACATCACGGCAAGCCTGCGCGGCACCCGTGTGTTCTCGAAAATCGATCTGGTTCGCGCGTATCACCAGATTCCAGTCGCTGAGGAAGACATCCCGAAGACTGCCGTAATCACGCCGTTTGGGCTGTTCGAATTTTTGCGTATGCCGTTCGGTCTTCGCAACGCAGCCCAGACTTTTCAACGACTCATCGATTCAGTCACTAGAGGTCTAAATTTCGTCTATGCATACATCGACGATATCCTAGTTGCCAGCGCTTCTAAAGAACAGCACGCAGAACATCTCAAAATACTTTTCGATAGGCTGGCCGCTAATAGCATCACTGTCAACCCTGACAAATGCGTATTTCAGCAGCCTTCCATCGAATTCCTTGGACACCGTATTGATCAGTATGGTATACGGCCTCTAGACGATAGAGTCCGCGCCATCAGAGACTTCCCGGTCCCGACTACGTTAGCCGCTATTCGCCGTTTTAACGGCATGCTCAACTACTATCGACGTTTTCTTCCACACTGTGCCAATTTGCTAAGTCCACTAACCGACCTACTTCGTGGACGTAAAAGCGGTCAGGTGGAACTGACTGCCGCTGCTGCTGAAGCTTTTAAAGCCAGCAAAGAAGCCTTAGCCAAAGCCGTTATGCTTCATCATTTCGATCCGAATGCTCCGCTCAGTGTTGCTGTTGACGCATCAGACACCGCCATTGGCGCCGTCCTACAGCAACATACAAATGGGGGCTGGAAACCTCTTGCATTCTACTCTAGACGCCTACAACCCGCCGTAGTCAAGTACAGCACGTTCAGTCGCGAACTGCTGGCCGTTTACTCTACAGTTCGACATTTCCGACACGTCCTCGAAGGTAATACCTTCATTATCTTCACCGATCACAAGCCGCTTCCCTACGCATTCTGAAATCAATCAGCTCGACACTCACCACGTGAGATTCGTCAGCTGGATTTCATCGCCCAATTTTCGACTGATATCCGACACATTTCTGGCCAACAAAACGTCGTCGCTGATGCTCTTTCAAGAGTATCTGCGATTGGTCCTGCCGGGCAGGCAATCGATTTGTCTGCTATGGCCGCCGCGCAATCAAACGACCAAACCTTTTCGGAACTTCGCGATTCTTCTTTGAAAATATCCCCGCACCCTTTGCCGTCATCTGATGGTACCATTTTATGCGATACATCTACCGGACGACCTCGACCCGTCGTTCCAGAAACTTTTCGCCGTATCGTTTTCGACACCCTCCACAATACCGCCTACCCAGGCATTAAAGCTACTGCTAAGCTTGTCTCTGAGAGATACGTTTGGCCGGGGATGCAACGCGATCTTACGCGTTGGGCACGCAGCTGTCTCACCTGCCAGCAAGCCAAGATTCAGCGGCACGTGTCCGCTCCGCTTGGTCGCTTTCCGTCCGTTTCAGCGCGATTTGCCCATGTCCATCTCGACATCGTGGGACCTCTGGCCCCGTCCAAAGGAATGGTCTATATTTTGACCATGATCGATCGTTGCACCCGTTGGCCCGAAGCCGTTCCCATCCCTGACGTAGCTGCGGAAACCGTAACACGCGCTTTCGTCGAGCGCTGGGTCGCTTCACACGGCTGTCCAGCCACAGTGACTACAGACCGCGGTCCGCAATTCGAATCTACGACCTTTAACGATCTCCTTAAACTCATTGGATGCCAACGCATTCGCACGACCGCCTACCATCCGCAAGCGAACGGCATGGTGGAACGTTTCCACCGACAGTTGAAAGCCTCACTTAGCGCCGCCAATGCGCTGAGTTGGACTGAGGTGCTGCCTATGATCCTCCTTGGGATCCGATCAGCCCTAAAGGCCGATCTACGTACGTCTAGCGCCGAGTTAGTATATGGACAACCACTGCGTTTACCTGGCGATTTCTTCTCCGTTAGTCCCAGAATTACCCGTTACGACGCAAATTATGCACGTCAGCTTGCCACGAGCATGCGTCAGTACAAGCTTCCCAACGTTAGAGAACAACAACGTAAATCTTTTATTCCACAAGACCTGCAGCATTGTCCGTTCGTTTTTCTCCGCCTCGATGGTCTCCGCAGACCACTGGAGCGACCTTACGAAGGTCCTTTCAAGGTTCTGCAGCGTAAGGACCGCGTCTTTATAATCGACCGTCACGGTAAACGTGAAGCTGTTACGATTGACCGTCTCAAGGTTGCCCACGTGGAACCTGAGCTCGACGAAGACCCTTACTTGTCTTCTGACGAATCAACGCAGCCTATGATGGAAGACTCGACTGCTTCCAACATCCCTGACCCCAAGTATCACGCTCCATCCAAGCCTTCTACTTCAGCTCCGCCGCTTCCTATCGAAACAACTGCCACGTCTTCAGCAGTTCCTCCAATTTTGCGATCCGATAGGACGTCTAAGACGACGCCTTCCTCTGATACGAACAAGTCGACTAGGTCGGGTAGACGCGTTCATTGGCCAGCTCGATTAAGGGATTAGCGTTCCTTTCACTTTTCTTATTGCTTTTCTTTTCCCTTTTGGCCAACAACGTACGAACCCCTCCCCAAAAATTTTGAAAACGCCAAAAAACCGACAAAAGTTTTTTTGAAAACCCAAAAAGAACGCAAAATGTTTTGAAAACCCAAAAAAGAACAAAACGTTTTGAAAACACAAAAAGCTGCGTTTTGCCTGACGCCTACCTCATCCGGTAAGTGTCACTCTTACTTTTGCCCTCGCCTCCACCGTCACTGCTCTTGTTTCCGTTTATCTTCTATGTATGAACCGGAGATGACGAGCCCGAAGCGAACGTTTGACCTTCACGAACTCGCGAACATTTAACGCTTACGAACTCCCCCCATTTTGTGTTTTTGGCACCGTTAGGGAGGACACGGGTGGGAGCCCGCTAGGGTCCGATCGCCTGGTTCTCCCCCAGCAGCTGCATCAGGTTTCACTACCTGGTCTCGCAGAAGGCTGGCCCGCGACGGACAGTCCTCACGTAGATCGAAGGGTCACCCACGGTTTCCCTTCTAGGAGGGGGGCTGTGTAGCGACCTGGAGATTCCCCCGTATGACTGTGTAAACTATTCTAAAATATTCAAATTATAGCTTTCTTATGTATTAAGGAACCATTCGGTTTGCCTGTTGGAACGTTGTTCCCGTTTGTTGAAAACACGAACACGATCTCCGCCTTTGGCGCGCGGCTCGACTGCGAACGACGCTCCGTCTACGCTCTCGACGCCAACGACATTCTCCCTAGCTAGCTCTCTCCGGGTGCCCTATTTTTAGCATTAGCTAACGCTCCTCCCGTCCAATAAACTTCTTCCCTAGTTTACTTTTGTGTCTTCTACCCACTACTTTTGGTTGGCCGTCTAGTCGCGTACCGGATATATAGCGCACGATCTACGCGCTATAATAGTCCGTATGCGCGTGAGTATCGTCCTCACGTAACAATACTGAAATTGACATGTTCGAACCGCAGCGCCGCTTGACATATGCGAATAATCTTTTTGGATTCTCTGAAGCTTCGTCTGCTAATTCTTTCTCGAAACTGAGCCGAACATTTCTTAGGTGTTGCTTACACTTATTTCTAGCCTTACGGTACCTGTCATAAGCACCAGTAAACGGAGCATCTCAGTAAGTCCGCCAACATTTAGACCTCTTTGTGAGCAGATGCCCGCCAGTAGAATCTATCCAGGGCGGCTGTGCTCGAGTCTCTTTTCTCCTTGTGGCTGGGATGAAAGGAAGAAGAGACCTCTGTGAAGTAGGACCTAAATTTATCCCAGGCAACCTCGACAGTATCGTCGTCTGAGATCCCACGATGGAAACCCGAAGCCTTGGCTCTCATTGTTTGATAGTCTGCGTGCCATATGTTCGGGCGAGACTTAAGAGTACTCTGGTAGCGTCTAGACAGAGTACAACTGAAGAGCAAACAAACTTGATCACTAGAACCCAATGGAGGTCCGTAAGTAGTGTCACCAACAAAATCGAGTGACTTAGCAAATACAAGGTCTAAAATAGACGGTACTTGGGCGTCCATGTACCTAGTGGGGAGGTCAATGAACTGGTGCAACTATACTTGGAGCGTAAGTTCAAGCAGATCAGCGACGAATGTGCCTGACTCTGAGTCACAAGAAAGCTTTGTCCAACAAATCATCGGGGGGTTGAGGTCCCCGATCACCAAACACTTGTTTGCGAACTGAGAGCGAATGAAGTCAAGCACCTCTTTGGATACGCTCCCAGGGATTCTATACACAAGTACAACTGTAACCTGAGCCGAGGATGTGCTAATAACAGACGACCGAGC